CCAAAATTAAAAACTATTGATTTGATGATTAATTAATAAGTGGGTGGTCAACACTTGACTTAGTGACAATCTTTATCTTCTCTTGTCTACCCAAAACATCATTGATAACATCAGAATTGAAACTACTTAAAAACATAAAGTTGTAAGAAATTATCTCAGTTTTTTAAAAAAAAAATAAAGGTCATTCGGATTTCTAGAACTTTAGATATATGTCAAATACTGAACAGTGCGTGGGCTGTAGGACAGATTTGGACTTCTTTATTGTTGCTTCAATTTGGACTTGAAAATGACCTTTTTAAATCTTAGGATCCATATGAAAATTGTAGGCCTATGTCTTACCTTTCTATCCATATAAAGAGACCTAAATCCGAGATCTACCACTCCAAATATGACCTAATTACCGAATAGTGTTCTGATTTGGACTGTACCAACATCGTTTTTTAAATTTGGTCATCTTTTTGTCCTTTAAATTTCAGTTCTTAAATTCATCAATCAATCCTTTCATTTATATGATAGACATGTATTTAAAATAAACATTTACCACAAATTAAAGGTATTTTATATTATTAGATATGTTATTATAAAATATAATTTAGTTAAGGAGTTATTGATACTTCAAGTGCAAAATAATGATATAAAACCTTAATAAAAATATACTTTTAAATACTAATCAAAAGGCATTTTATTTTATTTTTTAAATTCAGAAACGAAAAGATTTTATTTTCCTTACTATTATAATTTTAAGTTATATACAAGGATGTATCAATATTACTGATGTAGCCATGAAAAGCTTCAAACAAGAATTGAGTTTTTCATGGTTGTGTCCTTGATCAATAACTATTCTTCAATATAAATTTTTAACTTTGAGGTGAGTGGTTCTTGCAAAACAAGTTTCTATGAAAAAATGAGACACTCTAATATTTAAGTTAAGTTAATAAATATAGGAGAAGAAAATAATATAGAGAAAAGGAAAATATAATGAGATAGTTGGAAGTGTGTATTTATATGTTTTGTGTTAGCCTATGAACATGAATGACTTATTGCATGGTTGTTTGTGGTTTTTGAAATTATTAGATAGTCATTTGTAGTTTTTAAAATTATTGGGTATTTGATGGAACTTTGTGAACATGTACATAATATTAAAACATTATATAATAAAGAAATGTATGGAGATATAGAGATTTTAATGAAGATCTCATCATAAATATTTTTTTTATTTAGAGATAATGGAGAATTGTTTTGGAGACATAGAGGTACATTTAAAAACATGAAGATCTTATCTTGGAGATTTTCATTAAAGATATTGAAGACATGAAAAAAAATATTATTTTTTTATTTAGAAGTTCAAAAAGATAGTGAATATACAATTTATTTTAAGGGTAATTTAGTATTTTATTTTTCAAATTAAAATGAAATTCTAAAAAAGACCTTCAGAGGCAAGTTAAATGAATTTTGCTACAAGGGTTATTTACAAATTTTACTATGTAGTAAAAATATAAAATAACTAAGATGTCTCGGTCAATTTGATAATGACAAATTGGTCCCATGAAAAAAATCATATTACTCCTCAAACCAAGTTATTTGGTTTTGTTTTAGAAGGGAAAATTATCATTTCATTGTGCGAATTCAAAATAAAATGTAAATGTGTGCACAATAAAAAGATTGTGTCACACTTTCATTTGAAAGAGAAAATGTTCATCTAATAGACATTTTAACCCTTTTTTCCCTTACAACTAAGAACAATGTTTACTAATCATTTAAATACTTAATTTCTGTATTTATCTAATCAAAGCCTTTATCATTATCGAATTTATCTTGTTTTTCTACAAGATATGTTTGCCTTTAATTGTGTCATATTTTTTAATGACATTATCAATACTTGCAATAAAAGTTAGTAGCAAATAAAAACTTTCTTACACATCCCCTCATATATTTACATCTATTTAATATCAGTTTCCTCATATTTCACACAATTCAATTGGGTTTTTTACTTTTAATATCATTGTTTTATACATCATTATTTGTTTATTTAGAATCGTAAAGGTAACTTAAAAACTTACCAAATAATTAATAACAAAAAATATGATGTCTTTATAAGAATAAAGACTCAAGAATCAGAAAAATATATGAAACTTGAGAATAAATTTACAAATAGCAGTGCAAATTTATGTAAAATATAGTAATGAAGAGAAGACACGAAAAAAAAAACAATGGATTTTATGTTAAAGATTCAAACAAAGCTAACTAATTCAAGAAGTCAAGATTCACTTCAAGAGTTTCAATAAAACAATTAAAATAAAGTAAGAATTATTTATATTACCTAAATTTAAATAAAAACAAGGCAAGATAATCCAAGAAAAAAAATCAATTTGGCAATACTAATACTTGGTACTTATCTATCAACAAAATCAAAAAACAAATATTCAAGAAACTTTCTATCAACTCTAATATTCAAGGGCTTATATATGGTTATGCTCTAAGTTATCAATTCAATCAATTCTTGTAATTTTTCTTGAACATCCCCTCCTTTTTTATTATCCATACAATTCAGTAAAAACAAGATTTCTTCTTCTTCTTTTTTGTACTCTAGGCTGAAATCAAGAAAAACAAAAAATAAAGATCAAGATCATAATTTTTATTTAATGTTTTTGGTAAAATCAAGACACTAAGTGAGATAAAGTTTTATTTTTATATAAAGGGTTTTATGTAAACTTTGAAATAATAAGAGAAGAATGGAACCTTTTTAAGAAATAAGACCCTGACCTAAACTAGAAAGAAGAAGAAATCAAGAAATTACACAAACTAAAGATTAAAGGGATATAACATGATAATAGCACATGCTTTGATATCAACTTATGTAGACACCTTCCAAAATATGTTAAAATCATATTTAAATTATTGCAACTTGACCCAACAAAAACCTCTTTTGAAGAATCAAAGTTATAAGCAACGATCACCCTTACACTATACCTATAAAGAGACGCAAATGAGTAATATAAAATCATGACAAAGTTAATCAATCCTTTGAAAAGTTTGCAAGTCCAATTAAAAACTTAGTATGAGAAACACTCGATCACATAAAAAATAACAAGAATAATGATTTTTTTTTATTAAAAATAGTCTAATAGTCCAACATCAAAAAGTCTCTATAAAAATGTATTTATACTATAAAGAATCTTAAATATAATAGAATATCCCTTTGGATATAGATAAATCTAATAAATAATAATAATCCAATGAACCCAAATTTAAATAAAGATCTTAATATCTTTAAAAGATCTAATAAATAAAAGATAAATAAATCAATAGCCTAACCAATTTAAATAAGAATAAAGTTTTTTTATATAATCTATTGATATAACCAAAGCCTAACTTCAAACGTGTGGTTCTCTTTGTTCTTAATGAATTAAAATGAGTTTTATTTGTCAATGGAAAGTTATGCATGTCCATTTTTCAATGCAACTGAAATCACATTAATTCCTTTTTTAACTCCAGTTATGATCAAACCAGGAAAAAAAGGTCAAAACTAACAATTTTGAATTTTTTTATTCTATTTTTTTTGTAATGTCTAAATGCTTACCAACAAGACTTTCTTAAACATGAATTAAATTAATCAAGATGTGTTCTTTATTATTTAGTATTTTTTAAAGTCCATCTTATCCTATGTATCTTGATGAAGTCTATTAAAAGCCTCTTTGAATTTTTTAGCCTTGAGTCTTATCACTGGAACAGCTAGAACCTCTAATAGATCTTTTGGTGTTTCTTGGATCACATTAGTAAGGTCATTATAGTTATCTAAGTTGTCCTTCATAAAGACATGATATTTAAAGAGATAAGTGTGTAAAACTCGTTGATATAGTGGAAAGTCTTATTTAGTGAAGATGATTTTTGTTCTTAGTAGCTTATACAATTATTAATCTCATATCTTGCCTAGTTTCTCAATGAAAACCAAGCGAGCAAGATTCAAAAGAGACTGAAGCGATAGTCATTTTATGGCTAAAGCTTACTGAGAAG